CGGCGCTCACGCTCCTCGGCGTTTTTTAGATCTGCAGAAAATAGTTTTTTAGAATCTAAAGTCATAAAAACTTAGCAATTCAACCGAATTTTACCTCTAGCCTCAATGTACCGCTGGTACATGTCATTGGTGAAGAGCGATTCGGGCAGCTCGCGAAGGTAGCTTTTGAGCAGGCTGGTCACCGTGTGAATGTCCACGTGGCCAATCAGCCAGCAGGCGTCGCGAGGACCTAGTAGTGGAAAAAAAAGATAAAAAGGTTAACAAAACCCTCTTTTAAAAAAGCAACACAAAAACTTACTCGTCTCAAAGGCCTTCCTCAGCTTGGCCACATCTGAGCTGAGGCCGGACACCCGGTAGATGCCCACCTCGCGCAGCCCCCTCCGCTGAACCTCGTTGATGCAGCAGGTAATAAGGAGAGGGACCTTGCTGCGCCCCTCCTTCTTGCAGACAGTGGCAATGGGCAGGCCAAAGGTGCCGCAAATGCGATTGGGCGGCGTCCGCTCCATCATCGACTTCCAGCTGGTGAAACTGAGTGAAATGGAGAGCGAGTACTCGAGAATGGACAGCTCCTTGGGGGCGTAGTCGGGGAGGAGACAGGCGGAGGTCAGGTCGAAGGTGGCCTTGCCCTTGAAGACGGGTGGAGAGGTGGGCTGAGGATGCTGCTGTTGATGATGTTTGTAGTGATGGTGGTCACTATCACCTCCTCCTATCACCCTCTTCGGCGGAGCCGTTTCATAGGCGAGAATCCTCAAACTCTGCGTTCCCTCCAGCTCAAGAAGAAAGTCTTCGTTAATGTTCTCCCGGTCGTCGTCCGTCACACAACGGGTGACCGCCTGTTTGAAGTAGTGCCCGTAGGAGTCCGTCTCCACCACAAAGTACAGGCCTGTTAAAAAGGAGAAATTATTAGAAATATGATCAGCAAACAAATCGTCTTGACCAAAACTTACTCTGCCTTCCCGTGGGCACGTAGCCGTTGAGGTGAATGAAGCGCAGGTGAAGGTCANCAAGAAGAAAGTCTTCGTTAATGTTCTCCCGGTCGTCGTCCGTCACACAACGGGTGACCGCCTGTTTGAAGTAGTGCCCGTAGGAGTCCGTCTCCACCACAAAGTACAGGCCTGTTAAAAAGGAGAAATTATTAGAAATATGATCAGCAAACAAATCGTCTTGACCAAAACTTACTCTGCCTTCCCGTGGGCACGTAGCCGTTGAGGTGAATGAAGCGCAGGTGAAGGTCACCGAAGCGCAGCGACTCGTCCTTGTTGGTGCGCAGGAGAAAGCTGCCCAGACTGGGGCTCATCGACTTGCGGCAGGCCTCAATCTGCCGCTGCATCTCAATCGGACTCACCTGCTCATTGTGGGCAGAGTTGTGCAGCACTAAGGGAAAAGAATGAAAAACGTCAGAAATCATAAACTCCACATCAAAACTGCACTTCCACTTACCCTGTTGCAGATGTCTGATGGTGTCCACCCACCAGCCGCGCTCGTACTCCGAGGAGAGGTAAAAGAGGTGCTGCACTTTGCTGCTGCTGCCACCGCCGCTGCCCTTCAGCGCAAAGCTAAACTTGAGCTGCGGCAGCCAGAGCACCAGCTCCGACTCCAGCTCACTCAGCTTCTTCCGGTGCTTCTCCGAGGCCTTCCCAGCACTGGACTTCCGCTCCTCCACAAAGACCTCGTAGCGGGCGGCAAAGGCACGCGACTTGAGCGACTCCACCGTGGCCAGCGAGTTGGCCGCCTCTTTGCTGTCCTTGGCGGCGGCGGCGGCCGCTGCTGCAGCTGCAGCTTGAGAATTCCCGGGACTTCCGGCCACTGAAGAGGAAGAATTTGAGGAGGTCGAGGAAGAGTTCAGCGAGCGGTTCAGTGAACTCCCAGAGTTGCTGCTGTTTGAGTGCTGCAGCGAGTCGAGCGACGGATCGAGGAGGACATCGCCCAGCATCTGGAACCACTTCAGCTCAAAGGTGAACTTCTGCTTGGTGCTCGCCTTGTACTTTGCGCAGACAATCACATCGTTGAAGAGAAAGAGGTGGCGGAGCTTTCGACGACCGCTGTCCCCGTGGCCCCCGCCGTGACCACTCCCACTACTTCCGCCCACGCCGGCCGCCTCCACGATGAAGCTCTCCTTGACGAGACGCCGCTGGAACTTGTCCGCCGCCGGAAAGAGCGACTTCGTGGTGACTCCTCCTCTTGCGCCTGAAGTGGTCTCCAGGTTGAGCTCATTGAGAAAGGCCTGCGTCATCTTGAGGGCCTCCTTCAGCAGGTTCTGCTCCTCCTCGTTGCGCGAGTCGACAAACTTGAGGAGGTCGTGGAGGACGAGGGCGTTCTTCTGCAGCCGCGCCACCGGCTTGTGCAGCAGGTCCACCAGGTTTGTGGTCTGGTGGCCGCCGTTCAGCGAGGCCACCTTGATGGACTGTGATTGAAGAAAGGGAAAAGGGTAAAAGTACCGATTACTAAAAATGTAATAAAAAGAGAAGAAAGTGGGACTTTACCTTGATAATCTCGCTGAACTTGCTGCTCTGCGCACTGCACCGGCCGGCCGTCTCCAGCGCCCTCGAGTAGTTGCGCAGAAAGTCCGCGTAGATGGGCAGGTTGGAGGCGAGGCGGAAGAAGAGCTCCCCCACCGAGTTCTTCGTCATCAACTTGGTGGCCACCTTCGACTTGCCCGTCATGCTCTCGCTGTGCAGCTTC